AACTTATCTAATAAGTCTATGTAAATAGATAGCAGGACAGGGACAGTAAGGGATAGTAAAAAGACAGACATTGCTAAGATCTACAAAGGGTAGGAAGTTGTGGAGAGCCATTATCGCCCACGCACTGAAGGAACGCAGCACAAAGAAGGAGGATATGCAGAGATATAATAGTTTTAAATCGGCTACTTACCATGCAGAAAGCTACAAGCTCGGAACTATGCAATTGTTAACTTATTGTTTTGCTTTACTTGTCTGATCATCTGTTCTCAATTATTGTTCTCTTCGTTAGACAATAAACTTGTCTTCCCTCGTTACAGTTTCAGCGTGTAAAACCTACTCAGAAGAAACAGGTTACTTAAATAAGGTCACATATGGGATACGTCCATTCTCATTTGTTTCTTTCCTCATTAATTTTGCACGCGAACATATTAATAAAAATTGACATCTTAATGCTACGTTAGAAAACACCAAATGGCGACTATGTGAATGATATCGTAATATTGCCGAAAATATCGATCGATATTAGACACCTGATTAAGACTATTAAACGTCCATTTGTTGTGATTTAAATCATTATCTGTTAGCATCAGGTATATTCTTACTGTCCAAAGGATACATGATTACATTCAAAGCTGGAAATCGGATATCAAATGTTTATGTTTTTAAATTCAAATTCAAATTTGGAACGAAATGTATACTCGGGCAGAAGATGACTGCCAGCTTGAAACGTCGATGAATAACTCAGTAATTGAAGTAAACTTCAGATGCGATCTTCGATTTTTTTTTTTTTAGGGTGGTGGATGGGTAGCATCTCGGAATGAGAAATCAGCTATCCGATTTCGAGTTACAGTCGATTTCGTTGCATTCACTTGCACACAAAACCTTGGGAAAGATTTGAATCCATCTCTTCCCCCAGCTATGGGTTAAATAGTGGAACTTGTTTCTGGAAAAATCATTGTTATTCTCAGAAATAATTTTAATGCAATATCAACACACCAAAAATGATATTCTTACAATTCAGTGTATGATTCGACTTTAAATAACCCACAAAGGGTTGATAAGCCGTAATTATATATATATATATCCAAAACCAAATGCAATAAGAACGAATCAAATATAAATTCAAATGTCCATAACATTAATTTAAAAAAGGGCTCAATAGAAAAGTAGAGCTATAATTTTTATTATAGGTTATTATATTCGAATATACATATTCCCGCTAAAAATGCATTATTAGCGGAAATATATATGTTCGAATTTAATAACCTATAATAAAAGTATATATATATATATATATATATATATATATATATATATATATATATATATATATATATCGACGAAACATTATGACCAACGACATAAAAACCGATTTCAAGTATTTTATTTTGATTTGTTGAATGACGTAGTTATGGAAAAGAAGAAAATATGGAGGGATTTTATAAAGACTAAACTGGTATGGCCAGAAGACTAGATTATTGACTTTCCGAAAACGCCATAACTTGTGTTCACACTCTGTTACAAGTAACTCTGAAGAGGAAAAATATCAAACGCCGACAAGGCATGGGGTTTTCTCTTGCAACAAGATGGACGACAGACTACATGTGCGTCGTTATCCTAAAGAAAATATAACACCGGGATGTGCTGAAGGATAAATAATATTGATAATGACTAATAATATATATTGTATAAGTAGGCATGTTGACCAAACGGAGGCACTAAGGGAAATATGATTAAAATTCAGACATGACGTTGGGGTTGATATATTGGAGAAAGTTCTGTTGTGAAACAATGAATCATCGTGTGTAAATTATTTTCCACCTACCTCAACATCATTGAAAACTAAATACACCCTCCAATGACAGTTGTCTTCTACGATGACAGTGGTATCTTTTCGGCGGGACACTATACTTTACCACACTATACGATTTTTACGGGAATTATTTCGGAAATAGTATGCCCTGGCAACCAAACCCACTAGATCTCCAATCCCATATCTGTGCTGTATAACAACACACAGTGATTTGATTTGTTTAATGGCACATCAACACCTAAATAGGTCATTTAATGTTGAAATTTATTTTTCTTGGAAAATTTGAAGTAATAAAAATATGATATATGTTATTCTGCTTTCACAAGTGAATACATGGTAGATGATACTCAGCTTTTGTGGATATACATGTTTGTGTGAACATAATAGAAGCAGCGATATGTGTGTTTTATGTTGTAGTTTTGTTGAAGTTATATTTTGAAATACAGTTTGATTTCTTTAAGAAATTGTAGGATATTATATGGATTAATATCATGAAAGAGTTCTTACATGTTGGTTCATGTATTGTTGGTAAGTTTTTTTTTATATAATAATGTATTACTGGTATTTTCACTATAAAAATGTATTTTATACTTTCATAGTGTTTTGTCTTTGTTTGGGGATTCACTATTTGCCCATAGCTGGGGCATTAACAGGTGCTACCATCCCGAGTTAGGGTGGACCTGCGAGCAACAATAATTAAAAGGTGGTTCTACACTCCTCAAAACCTCCAATTTCCCGATCAGAGGCTTTGCTGTTGGACGTAGTTCAACACGTAGTGGTAGTCCACCGTAACACATCTGGTCACAATTTAGACAAAATAAATGCCAGTCTGATCAGGAAAGAAAAGGATTCACTAAAAGAAAAATACATTGAAAGTGCGCTGATCTCACAATTCCCGACGATAAACCTAAGACCGGGCTCATACATAATATCTTCGATTATTGCAAAAGGCAATAACGGGAAATTCGGTGTACAAGCTAATAGAAAAAATAACAGAGATCTAATCAGAATGGGTTCATTTCAAATCACTCACTAATTAACGATTTTAATACAATAAACAAATAAAAACGATGCAATTTTGATTCCGACCGGAAGACACTAACTTTGCAAACAGAGATTAACGATTTTAATATTAAAAAAAAACCACAGTTTTGACTTTCATTCTAACCTGAAGACGCCTAACACACGAAGTTAAAACGCGTCGTCATTAAAAAATCTTTTCGACTTTGCCTCAGTATTTAAACTTTATAAAAAAATTTTGTTAATTACAAAAATAATCTTTATTTTAATGATTGTTTCCAGGCATGTTTTTCGAAGTTACTTTTATCCTTTGGGGCAACTTACATATTTACCTACTTAAAAAAAACGTGCGCATGAATATATATATATATATATATATATATATATATATATATATATATATATATATATATATATACGCGTGTGTGTGTGTGTGTGTACGAACATTATATATATTATACATAGACGCATTATGTGCCTAGTGTGCACTTGCTGTATAGCAGCGGTCCACGAAAGAAAGTGTATGAGGCGGCTTAAAAGATTATTCTTATGTAACATATCTCATATATTCTTAAAATATTAAACTGTGGTATGCGAAATATCTCCACTTAATACACGAGATATATTTGCTCCATTGAATGTGGCAAACCCCCCACACTTTAGTCAGCCCTTACCAATATAAACATTTTGCATCATTTTTACCCTTTGAAGTGGGGAAACCAGCTAACACAGCTTTTCTGTTAACAATCCAAATAAGGTTTATTACTTGGTGGGCATTATGACGCGCCTTCGCTCGGAACACGGTAGTATTTCTGATTTTTACTCTGAATGAAGTTCTTTCAAATATTTCTTTTTTCGTGCATCATAAAATGTCGAGCATGGAATAAAATGTAGGACGTAACATGATGCTTTATTTAGATTTGTGTCCTCATTTATTTTGCAATTTTTTTTTTTATTTTATTTCTTGTGAGTAGCGTTTTACACACTACGTTTCCGTTAGCAAATTCCCTTAGCGTTTTTTTTTTTTTTTTTTTGTAAGCTTGACATTTTAAAAACCCGACATCTGGTAAGTGTACCATTCTTTTAACGAGTAAACCTACTGAATGAAACTTTCACCTGAGGAAAGCTTAGAAACGATTCACCAGAAACGTTGCAGGCAAATAAAATATAACTTTTCAGATCATTTTATTTTAAAATGTTAAGTCCTTAGAATATAAACTGCTCAAGAAATAATACCGCGATTTTTCTAACTTTGTCTCCATCCATATTATTTTATTTATTTTTATCAATAATTTCCAGTTTTTATTTAGTTTTGCTTTCTAGAAAACGGAAGCAAGCAGAAATTAGCTGTTGTTATCATTATCATCACTTCCATATTTTGATTTGGGCTCTGGTCAGACTACCTATCAAGTCTACCTAAGACAGGTAGTGGTGTGTTATGATGGCTACATTTCATAATTCGCTTTTTCCAAATTCCTTAACATCACAAAGTTCTTAGTGTGTGGCTGTATTCACCAAGACAATTTTTTGTATTTCTCTTAAGCTGGGGTTTCCAAGGATTTTTTCAATGTGATATTGTGTTCCTTCTTTTTTACCATTCTAGGTGCACCTACTATGACTGGTACTATTCTTGTTTTCAATTTCCACATTTGTTCTATTTCGATAGTTTTCAAATTACTAAGTTGCTTTGTTACAGTCCGCTGGGCAAGCCATATCAATTAGAAGGTAAGCTTTATTTATTGATTATTATTATTATAGTAATAATATCTTGTATACTGTAATGTATCTTTGAAGATCTTCAAAAAAACTGTCAAAATGCAAGGACCTTGAAATCGAAATCTCAAAAATATTGCACATGGAAACATCAACAATTCCAGTTGTAGTTGGAGCCCTCGGTTTGATTAGAAAGGTTCCGATAGATTCATTGAAAGGATTCCTGGTTGCCCAAGCCTTAAAGAAATACAAAAAATGTACTCAAGTACAGCCCACATTTTACGAAGGACTTTATGTAAAATGTGTATGATATTAGGGCTTTTGTGAGGAGGTCCTCAAAAACTGCAGTGAAAAAATGTCATGATGACATTTCTGACCATAGGTCTTTGGTGGGGACCCGGAAAGAAATGAATACACACAGGAAACCAAAGGAAATAATAATAATAATAATAACAATGATAATAAAAATAATAATAATAATGATAGATAGATAGATAGATAGATAGATACATAGATACATAGATAGATAGAAATAATTTGGATTATATAGATAGAAATGAATAGAATGAGACAGATAGATAGAAATGAATAGGATGATACAGATAGATACAAATGAATAGGATTAGGTAGATAGAAATGAATAGGATGAGATAGATAGATAGATAGATAGATAGATAGATAGACAGAAAGGAATATGATGAGATAGTTGTTGTAGCTCAACCGATAAAAACGTATCTCTGAAAAACGTTTGAGAAATTAAGTAAATGCAAAGAATTCGAGATAGAAATCAGTAGAATGTGGATCTCGCGACAACAATACCGATTGCTTTGGGGGCATTTGAAATGATGTCAAAAAGCGCATACAAATATGTGCATCAAATTCCTGGCAGCCCTAATGAACTGCAAAACCAAAGCTTTATACGGATTGCTCCTTCTCACATTTTGCATAGAATTCTTTCCATACAGTGACAACAATTATATTTTTTACTCTCTGATCCCACTGTAACTGATCTGTTTACATCATCTGATACTAAAAAAGAAAACTTATTTCTTAAAGTCTCCGGTTGAGACTTGAAGGAAAACTTGGACGAAACAACGCAACGACAAAAACATGATAATAATAATAATAATAATAATAATAATAATAATAATTATTATTATTATTATCATCATCATCATCATCATCATCATAATTATTATTATTATCATCATCATCAACAAGAATAATAGCATAAAAGTTGAAAATATTTCCATCGTGTCTAAAGTTTATGGTCCTTTTATTTCAAAAGACAAATAAGTTCTAAACTATCTACAAACTGATATATTTTATTGAAGCGTTACTCATATAAATATGTGGTGTTGATCGACCACTTCAAAGAATTTATTTTGCGTCTCCTTGGTTGGAAACTTTTTAGCATTTCCTTTTATTACCTTTTGTATTTTCCGCTTTCTTTTCTATTATCTTTTTTATTTTATAATCATACAAGTTTTTTTTTTATAATCATACAAATTTTTTTTATAATCATGCAAATTTGAAAACGATTAGAAATAAAATAATACTTAATGACCAGTTTGAGAAAGAGAAGTGTCATAGCAGTCCTTTTATTTTTAATCAACGATCTTAATTATGTAACTCGGACCTTTTGTCGAAAATACGTCTTGAATTTTAATATTATTTTGTTTTTGCAAGTTCAATAAAAAGGAAATATTTAAACGATTTTTTTTTAATAATACAAAAAATGCCCATGAATCTTAATTTATTTTAAAATTATTTGTCTTTCTTTTTTATCATCTCATCCCAAGCAAGGCGTAAAAGCCACTAAGACGCAAAGGGTTATTAAGATTGAAAGAAACTGAGAAAAAAAGGACAATAAAAAGAAGAGGATTCAAGGAGACAAAGGATAGCATCTGACGTTGCATTTAAATTTTTAACGGTCGTAGTTGACAGGAATGCAAAAACCCGGAAGAGAGTTCAACAAGCTACATCTAGCCATTTCAACTGTAAAATGATGAGACCTTCCCACCAATCTAGTACTGCGCTAAAATTCATAAAATTTAGGTACCAAAGGAAACCTCATCAGAACAATTACCATAAAAAATATTATAAAGGGAAGCTAAGTTATGTTTCGAATATACGTCCCTACTAATAAAAAAATTCGATGAACTGATTTTCAATATAATATCACAAATAAAAGTTTCATTAGATTTTACAGAAATTTTGTTTTTAAGCTTTTAATCGTAAAAATATAGAATACAGTTTAAAGAAATATCGTCGCGTCTGTCAACACGTGGAATAAATATAAAAACTAATTTATTTATACACAAGAGAGTACTTATTGGAATATTGTATTACTCTACCCCACCCCACCAAGCACACACTACCCACTACCATCAAATAAATAAATAAATAAAAATCAATGACAGGAATAAGATGCCATGAAACCAAGGTTATTTAATTAATTTAGTTAATTAAACCCTAAAAAATGGATAATGAGATAATTTTTAGAAATATATTTAAGGATATATTTAAACGCCTTCCCTGTTCACTATTTACATTATTCGGACTATTGTAATCATCTTTGTCGCCATATTTATTACAACGTTTCGGCCTTTGTACGCTCCGGCCTTCTTCAGGTGGTTCCAACTACCTGAAAAGACTGGAGCATACTACAACCGAAACGTTGTAATAAATATGGCGACAAAGATGAGGACAATAGTCCGAATAATGTAAATAGTGCACATACACTCATCTCAGAAATATAGACAGATACTGAAAAGCCGAAACGTTGTAATAAATATGGCGACAAAGATGAGGACAATAGTCCGAATAATGTAAATAGTGTACATAATACCTCATCTCAGAAATATAGACAGAGCCTTCCCAGTTGTTATTTTTCGTTATTAAAGTAATCCATTGGAATTGTTTAAAATCATAATTTTTGTTTACGCTTTCTTTTTAAAACTAAAATCAAAAGTTTTCATTCAAGTAAAAGCAAGCATGAATACGTATAGGAGAAAATATGTTTAAAAGCTGGTTGGGCAAAAAACAGATTAAGTGAATTAAATATAAAAGCCTTAATAGACATAAGGAATTTGAATCAAAATTTTGTAACAGAATATTTATTTAGGTGACGGGGAAATCGAAAATGATGAATATTCGAAAAGTTTATTCCTTCCTTTGCGACGATGGAAAAAGAAATAAGAAATATTTATTTCAGTTGCGTTTACGAATGATTGAGATAAATAAACGATTACTTTTTTATTGTTTTTAATTTTGTTGTTATTGTTTTTTTTTTAGCGGGGTGCTTTTCCAGTGCGCAATTAGTTGCCTATCAAGTTAAAGTGCAAAAAAGCTTAATTTTGATCCATAAAACTCTCTAGGTAGTAATTTTTGTAATTTCTAGGAAATAAAATTAAAACTGCTACAAATTACATTAACGACCAAAACATTTCAAATCCTATGAATAAAGCTAATTACATTTACAAATGAAAATATATATTTAAGTTCGTTTTAAATATATTTTCATGTCATTATAATTAATTTTATTCCGCTTATTCACTTCCCGACTTTGTGAATGTCCTCGAACAGTTCGCTATTGTCATTAAAAAGACACTGCCAGCTGGCGCCGGGAGAAGAGAAATTAAACTTAAAAAATGGTTAGAGACATTACTGATAAAATATTTATTAAGTTGAGTCATAAGTAATTTCCGCTTTTGGAAACCAATCGTAATATTATAATTAATATATTCATATTTAATTATATTATAATTTAATATGAATAAAATTTACAAATAAAATATGGAAATTACTTATGACTCGACCTAATACAAATACACATAGCCACTGTTCTTATGCCTATACTAAAATAGAAAACAGTACACGCATGTGCACGTATGTATGCATGTATTTATGAATATTTGTGTACGTGTTTTCGGTTTAAGCACGTACGTGTACTGACGTATAAGTATAAAGATGAGAAATATTTTCATGTTCATAAACATGTCTAGTCGACACTCGAGAGTAGGTGGCGTGTAAAGACTGGGGCAATAAACGTAAAATAAATACATGAAGCCAATTTCTGATGGCCTGAAAGGTGAAACATCCGAAGTTTTGCGCCGTAAAGAAAATGAGTGCGTGCAGACACGACTAAGCACAATTTGAAATATTTGGCAGCAACGAATTTCATATCTTCGGGGGCAGATATTTACAGAATTTATTTTAATTACAAGCAAAATATGATGATGATGATGATGATGATGATGATGATGATGATGATGTCGACAAGTTTTATTGACATCAGATTCTTGAAGAGTTATTCTATATTTTTGATTTAAATATTTTCCGCTTGACAACTTAAAAGAACAAAAAAAAAACGTATTTCAAAATTATGTTACTTTTGTACATCGTAATACGAAATGAGGCAAATCTTTATAAAAGGTATATATGATTTCCAAAACAGGTTTAATTATAGGTTTCTACTTATAACCCATTACTATTACTGTCTACCCTCCCATAATGGGAACGGTAATTAAATTGGGTTATAGTTAGTAACCTATAATTTACAACGGATTTTTTTTATGAACTTATAATTAATACCGATATTTTTTTATAAACAGGATTTTTTTATACATTATATTTTTTATAACCCTATAATATAATTAATACCAGATATTTTCAGGCCATAATTAATACTATAACATTATAATTATTTTTTTATAACCCTGTAACACCGTTTTAGTTTTAGTTTTTTTGTTTATTTTTTTTTTTTTGAGAAATCTAAAATTAATACCGAATGTTTTTATTTTAATTTCTGTAATTAATAACAGATCTTTGTAACCTATAATCAATAACATTTTTTTTTAGAAACCTAAATTTACTAGCTGATTTTTATTTTAATTATTATAATTAATCCCAGAATTCACAGTGGTCATTAAGTTAATAAATTTTATGAATCAAACTGCTAAATGACATAACTATAGGAGTTCGCATAGAATAACACATTATATTCAAAAGTTTTCTGAATTTGTTCAATTAAGATTTGGTATAATTAATTCTTCTTCATTTTATTTTTCTCGATTTGTATCACATCGTAGAAACAGAGCACTGAAATAAAATCTAATGAAATATTAAATTATTATTCGTTCATACTATAACAATTATTTTTACAACACTTCAAATATGCCAATTAACTCTGCTATAACCGATATTTTATCTGTATAAATTCAAATATGAAATCTTTCAAATAATACAATTACAAACAAAAGGCTTAAATTGGTATCATTCGTTGAAAAGTCATATTAATGCATATAAAAAATAGAATTAACACCCCCAAAATAATGAAAATCCTGTAAATTTTATCTATTGTGTATACAGTCCATTTCAAAATTCTTGTCAGAATTCAAGAGTAATTTATCAATTATTCTTCTAAGATATTTGCAAAGATAAATAAAAATCAGTTTCATTTCCCCTGCAAATAAAAATTGATAAAAATAACACCTTGAAATATTTTTAAATATAAATCACTTAGCGGTAATTTTTTGCTAAATTGTTGCATTTTCTTCACAGACGAACAGCAAAATTAAATACGTCTAATCGATATTCCCCCCACCCCACCTCACAAAAATTAAAGAATACTTTTAAATTTCATTTTTATATATCTAAAATTTACTCTTAATACATAAAGGTGTAGATTGGTTGAACCTAATTCTTTATTTT